CACAGTACAGAGTGTAGTATCAGCACAACCAACCCCATGTGATGGTAAGTCCCTAGCCTAACCTCNTGGGGGATATCATTTACCAACAGTAACTCACGAGAAAAACATAAAGAACAATTTAAAATTCGTAGCAGAAAGAACAAGGAAACAACAAAAAGTCAATATCCACTTTTACCCTTTACTGTTGTGGCACGCAACCCGATCCAAAACATAAAAACACTATTGCGACATGCAACCCGATCCATATCATATATCATTATTGCGGTGCGCAACCCGATCCAAATATAATATTGTTGCGGCGTGCAACCCGATCCAAATATAATATTGTTGCGGCATCCAACCCGATCCCAATATACAATTCAACACCAATGACAAAAAGAGTCCCGAAAAGGGAACAATATGGGAACAACAATATCCTGGCAAGGGAGTCAACAGTAAGAAAGTAAATACATCCCAACAAGGGAATTAGTTATAACAAAACTTGTTCCAATATTTAACTTCACAAAAGAAACCTCATCTAGAGCCAATACTCAACCATAATCAATTTTTTCACGAGATTAATCATAACTCTTGCCCAACACAGAGAATCAACAACTTAGGCATTTGTAGTACTTATTAAGAACACAACGATTTCAATTTAAGACTCACGGGCATTCTTGACACCAACATATAGATACTCGTCACCATGTCTATATGTCGTACTCGACAAATAACGCATAGCAAATAGGACACAACTCCCAATCTCTCAAGCTAAGGTTAGACCAAACACTTAACTCGATGCCACGAACACAATTCAAGTCTCAACTATCGCTTTACCTCTTGATTCCACCACCAATCCTCTCGTATCTAGCCACAAATTACTTAACTATATCAATAAATGCTAAATGAATCAATTCTAATGCATGAAAATAGGTTTTCTAAAGGTTTTTCCAAAAAGTCAAAAATTGCCCCCGGACTCACATGATCAAACCTGAGATTTGAACCAAAACCCGATTACTCATTCCCCTACGAACCCAAATATATAATTTATTTTGAAATCGGACCTCAAATCGAGGTCCAAATCCCCAAAATTTGAAAACCCTAAGTTCTACTCAAAACACCCAATTTTCCCCATGGAAATTATTGATTTTGAGTTGAAATCATAAGAAAAGATGTTAAAGATTAAAGAAAACGAGTTAGAAACGACTTACAATCGATTTGGAAGAGAAGTTGTCCTTGAAAAATCGCCTAAGAGTGTTTTGGTTTTGAAAGGGTTTGAAAAATGGGAGATTTTCGGCTAAGTTATAAATTTGCAGGTCGGAGATGTCGCAATTGCGAACCCTTAAGGAACCTGCTACCTTCGTATTTGCGATCATATGTTCGCAATTGCGAACTCGCATTTGCGAAGGTGGTGTCTCATTTGCGACCAATGGCTACTACTGAAGGCATCGCATTTGCGATGTGTACCTCGCATTGCGAGGTAATGCTGGCCCTGAGTTTTTCGCATTTGCGACATAACTCTCGCATTTCCGAGCTCGCATTTACTAGCCAGGCTCTGCAAATGCGAAGCCTGCAGGCCTGCAATATACCAGTTTAAAACCTGCAACTTCCTAAGTCCAAATTTCACTCTGCGGCCTATCCAAAACTCATCCGAGCCCTCGGGGCTCCAAAGCAAACATGCACACCAACCTAAAATCATCATACAGACTTGCTCGTGCATTCAAATCACCAAAATAATATCAACAACTATGAATTTAGCATTAAAATCATGAATCACTTAAGAACATCAAATTTTCTAATTTTCTCAAATAAGGTCCGATTCACGTCTTTTCAAGTCCGTTTCTTACCAAATATCACAGACTCAACTTAAATCACGTATAAGACCTGTACCGGGCTCCTGAACCAAGATACAGGCCCGATACCATCAGATTTCAAACACATTTCATTTCCAAAAACTCATAAATATTCCAGAAAATAATTTTCTTTAAAAATTCATTTCTCGGGCTTGGGACCTCGGAATTCGATTCCGGGCATACGCCCAAGTCCCATATTTTCCTACGGATCCTACGAGACCGTCAAATTACGGGTCCGGGCTCGTTTACCCAAAATATTGACCAAAGTCAACCTAAATTCATTTTAAAGATAAAATTTATTATTTTTCACAGATATTCACATAATGGCTTTCTGGATACGCGCCTGAACTGTGCACGCAAATCGATGTGAGGTAAAAAGGAGGTTTTAAGGCCTCAAAACACAGGATTTATTTCTAAAATATGTGATGACCTTTCGGGCCATCACAAAAGTAGGTTAGAATCACTTACCAACGAATTGGGGGAGAAGAGCTCTTGGAAAAATCGTCTCCAAGGTTTTCTAGGCTTGAAATTTTGAAAGAATGAGAAAAATCCAGTCAAACTCAGCTTTTGACCAGGTGCAGATATCACAATTGCAACCTGAGGTTCGCAATTGCGAAATCCGCAAATGCGAGATTTTCTTTGCAAATGCGAAGTCCCCACATTTCTGCTATCATCGCATTTGCAATGATTTGTTCGCAAATGCGAACAGGGCCCTACCGCAAATGCGACCCAATTGATTGCAAATGCGAACAAGCTTTCCCCCAGCCCCTATCGCATATGCGAACAATTAGGTCGCAAATGCGGACCTAACTCTTTCACAATTGCGGCAGAGTACTCACAATTGCGATAAACCAATTCCCCAGCCCATGCTAGCAAATGCGATGGCCTCGTATTTGCGAGCCAGACCTCGCGATTGCGAAGTCTGCAGTAGACACCAGAAGCACAAAGGCTTCAACTATAATTCCAAGTCCAAAACCCTTCCGTAGCCTAGCCGAAACTCACCCAGGCCCTCGAGGCTCCAAACCAAGCATGCACATAAGTCCAAAAACCTCATACAAACTCGCTCGCGTGATCAAATCGCTAAAATAACACCTAGAACTACGAATTGGATACCAAAATCAAATGAAATTTTCATTGAACTTAAAGAATTTACATTTTAACAACCGGACGTCTGCATCACGTCAAACCAACTCCGTTTATTATCAAATTTTATAGACAAGTCACAAACAAATATAGTAATGAACATATACCAAGCTCCAGAACCCAAAAATCCAGGCCCGTAGCATAAATTCAAACATTGACCAAATTTTAAACTCTTTAACCCTTTAAGCTAAAAAGTGATAACTCGAGCTAGGGACCTCCGAATTCGATTCCGGGCATACGCCAAGGTCCCAAATAACGATACGGACACCAGGACTGTCAAAATACAGATTCGGGTCTGTTTGCTTAAAACGTTAACCGAAGTCAACTCGAATAGATTTTAAGGCAAAATTTCACATTTTATCAATTTTGTTAACATAAAAGCCTCCCTGAAAAAGGCACGGACTGCGCATGCAAATCGAGGAAGGCTAAAATGAGATATTTGAGATTTTAAAATACAGAGTTAAGGTTTAAAACACTAGATGACCTATCGGGTCATCACAGATATTCTTGAACCTAGCTCATGTATGAATAACTTTCACTTCGACATATAGAGCTAGTTTGGACATAAGAAAAGTTTTACTTTTTTTGAATTTTTTTTACTTTTTTTCGAATCAGCGTTTGATCACAAAATTTTCAATTTTCACTTGAAGATGCATTTTGGAAATTTTCGAAAATTTGAAAAACTCCAAAAAGTTATTTTTCAAAATTTCGACTCATATCACTTGCAAAACTTCAAAAATAACCCAAAATTATATTCATGTCCAAACATAACTCACATTTTCAAATACTATTTTCACTTTAAGAAAATTTCACTTTTTTTAAAATTTTACAATTCTTATGTCCAAACGCTCACATAGAGTACAGATTTTAAAAAGTAAAAAGGTTATAGTTTTAGCTTAGTCATAGTCTCATAGAGCAAATGATTCAACGTGAAAAGGTCCAGTTGGTCCTTTTCCCACTATACCAAATTCAGATTGGTCCCATCAATGGGAATGCAACTAAGCAAATATTGGCCGCATCGTTCGCTTTCACTGTGCGCGCTTTTTCCTTTTTCTTCTTTTGGTGCCTGCTAATTTGCTAACAACCAAATGAGAAAAAGTATGTTAGAACAAAATAGAGCAATAAATACAATCTACTTCAAGAAATGATCGGTTGAGCCCAAATGTGCTTATGCTATATCTTAAATCTAGATTCTTACTTAGCATTATATTCATGCGCGTATGTCATTGCTTTATAGTAGTAAATATTTCCATATTTTCCACTTAACTTCCTAATAATCTTTTTTTTCTTTCGTATAAGAAAACAAAGTATATTTTTTCAAGGGGGTTCATTGTTCATTCAAAAGGTGATAACGGTAATGTTTCACCAAATTCAAAAGGTTAATGGAGTTAGTGACGGGTTTGTTATGGAAGCTTCATAATTTATTGTTTTGAAGCATGGTAATTTCCAAACCTTCCCATGGCTCGACTAGGCTTAAGCAGTGGGATCACGATAGATCAATTTGCAGTCATTTTTGAAGATTATAATGGGTCGATTTGAGCAAAATGAAGGGCTTATTAAATGGATTTTGCTGATGTAATACTGGGAAACTAGTGTGATTTGGGCCCGTAAAATTAAGAAATATTTTATTGAATTTTTTTGGATTTGGTCGCTTTTGCAGCGTTAGTGGTGGGCAGAGAGGTGGTATTCTCCAATTCTCACTTCGGATTCTTTTTTTCTTTTTTTTAGGTTGTTTAGATAGTTTTATTAAATATTTATTTTTTCTTAGCTTCGAGTGTATTCAAATATATACAATTTTTTTAATTGAGGGTCATTATACTTCGTTGAATAACACAAGAATCAAAACTAAAATAAAGTACTCCTTCCATGTACTAATACACAAAATTTAAGAAATAAACATAGACTTTTGAAACTTACAAACTAAAATATTCTATACTATTTGTGTGACTATAAATTATTTCACTAATGAAAAAATAAAAAATTTAAAATTAAATTATTTCTAAATACAGAAATACACCATTCCAGTTTCTCCAAGAAAAATGAAGTCCAAAATATATTATATAAAATTGTTTTGGCATTTCCATCTTTGATCAGAAATACATACAAAGTCAATAATGAATGCCTAATTAATTAGTACTACTATTCTCCACTAATGTTACATCTGTGTTGGTTCTAAGAATTCGAACCAAAACTATATATTACCAAGAAAGTGAAAAAATAATAATTACAATTATACTATTGATAACCGTTGATTGCTAGGGCAAAGCACTGCGCCATCGCCATCACGAGGTAAAAATGAGTTGGAATTAAATGCAGTGAAAATCATCAAAACAAGTGATACTATCACTGATAATCCAGAAAGAAGTAGCATTAAAATGTGGGACGCAGTGTTCTTCATTTCTTGAGCATACTTAGTTGATGCCATTGCCATCACTGTTATAGGGAAAGAATATGCCCACCACGATACATTGAATTTCCTCATTGATCTCTTAAATAAGGCTGGTCTTGAAACCTGTTTTTTTCAACAAATTAGTAAACAGTTTTAGTCATATATTCATAAATTTTCAAATAGAATATATATTTCTAGATAAGACAACTAAATCTGTGGTGCCTCAGGTTGACAAAAGAACACATGTATATTTAAGCTGATGCTGACGGTCTGACTTGAATGGTTGGTAGCCAACAACATCATTTCGTACAACGAAATCTTAAAATGCAAAAGCCAACTCGAATACTTCTACGTCAATTTATATTTTAGCCGTCACCTTCAGTCTCTTTTCTTCTTTCAAATAACAAAGACCAAAGAAATAGATATATAGAAGGAAGAAACAAATACTCTTGTTACATTCTTTTCCTTCTAGGTTGTTCCAAAAAAGAAGTTCTATTTTTATCATTGAAGATTCGTTTTAAGTTTAAATTTTTTTGTTTTACCTTGAATGGTTACTAGTACTTTTAAGTGTATTTTTTGATATGTATCAGAAGTGTCCCGTTATTTCTTAATTAAACTGTGTGGTCTGATACTAGTCTGACACTAACAAAAGGCAGCCCAGTGCACTAAGGTCCGGGAAGGGTCGGACTACAAGGGTCTATGGTACACAGTCGTACTCTACATTTCTGCAAGAGGCTGTTTCCACAACTCAAACCCATGATCTCCTAGTTACATGTCAGCAACTTTACTAGTTATGCCAAGACTCCCTTTCTTACTAGTCTGGCACTGTTATGTTAAAGTCTAACAAATGGATTATCATGTTTAATTTAAAATGCTCACCAGGGAAAAGAAGAGGAAGAGAGAAAGGAAGAAGAGCATCTTGGATGAAGAATCAAACTTTCCATAAATAGAGTCCCATGCCAAGCTAGCCATACTTGGAGTTGCTAAAAACAAGAAGAAAACTGGCCTTAGCATTGCTGGAAGAGAGCTACTTCCTGGTAATCTCTGATAAAGTGTAACAAAAAGCACTAAATAATGTGACATTCCAATTGCAAACAACAATAATGCACACTCATTCCATCCCATTTCAGCAGCTGCCCTTGCTCCTACTAAATTCCCAATAACTGATAATTGGCTAGTCGGATTCGCTACTCCTGATAAGAAGCGCTTCCCTTTTGTGATCCATTGTCCATATATCTTGATATCAAGTGCCACTATAGGTACAACAAAGATCCACCAAAGTACAAGGAAATAGATATCTTTAGGTTTGAAAAATGGAGTGGCTTGAAGCAAAACAAGACAAGAAATCCAAGGAGCGAAAAGGTAGTTCACTCCAACATGGTGCAAGAATTCACTTTTAACCATGTCAAAGTGAAAGAGAAGACGAAGTAGGTATAGAAAAGAAAGTGATATTAATGAGAATAAGGCTAAAGACCATAGAAGAATAAAAGCTGTAGATGGAAGCATACGAAAAATACTTCTAAACTTATGAATATCATCAGATGGCTCACTTAAGGTTTTCCATAATAATGCTTGGCTACATAAAGAAAGGCTTATTCTAAAATAACCAGCATGAAATCTACTTAATATTGATAAAAATTGGTTCTTATGTGTCACGAAAATGCTACTACTACAATTTTTCTGTGTTGAGCACAGAGTAGTAGCATTTCTTGCTTGAGCCTCTTTGCTATGCATTTCCATGGGAAATTGTGATGAGAGTAATATTATGTGTGGTTCTACCAGTGAAATGGGGTATAAATAGGAAAATTTTGGTAGATGAGAAAGAACTAAAGTACGTACGTACTTTCTTTGAAGCAGCATAGGTAGGAGAAAAGTCGGCTGACTTAGGCTAACCATTGTGGACTACTTGACGTGGATTGTGGTTCCTGAGTTGTTCTCGAGCTCTTTACAGCTATAGTTTGTGTATATGGGGGCCACTTCTTTTCTGGCTAAAATCTCTTACCCGTATAGTAGGTATCGGTCTAAAACACGAGACTAATTCAGGATTTGAACATGATGAGTTGTAATTTGAGATTTTACACTGGCTTATTTAATTTATTGAGTTTAAAATCTATTATTTGTACCTTTTTAATGATTTTTTTTAATATATAGATAAAGTAAAAGATAAAAATTATTGGGTTAGGATGAACCAGTAAATTATCATTAGATCAACTCCTGCTGTAAAAGAAGAAACACCGGAAAGTAAGATATAAATCTCCTTTTTGTTTTTTCCACTTTTGTGTGTAGTGGATGATGATACGCCTTGATCCACTTTTGGTAATTAGGATAGGAAGGAACGTCGTCCTAGTAATCTTTGCCAGTACCCAAAAGGCAAACAAATTTAAAAAGCACGGAGTGGTAAGTTTTTCTTTATTACTGTGAATTTCGAATTGTTAAGGAATCAATGAAAGGTACTGTTGTACCAAAATGATCAATAGGCATTATCTAGTGCATTGTTCCGCTTTCTCCTCCTCCTGTCTTCACCCATTAACTTCCTCTATCAGTGGTGAAAACATTCTTTTTGTTGGATTGCTGTGACATGTAGTTTCATGATATATCATATTGTGTTGTATTTGTTAGAAATTTTTGGGAGAGCAAAAAAACTAAACAAACACTCAAAAACTCACTATTAGAGAGGTGGAGGAAAGGATTGTTTAACCAAAAATCTGAGTCTTTGGTCAAAACTAAAAAGAAATTCGGGTTACTGATAATCAGGAGACGAAAATAAAATATTTTTGAGAATGATGGTAAAGCAGTAAATAGTTTTGTATTGCAGTAAAATCTCAATAGTATTTTCGTGTCTCTACAGATGTTGAGTCTTTCTCCTTTTATAGTTGATTCTAGGAGAAGATGTAATGCCTTTGTCTTAATGAGGCAATTATGAGCAATAAATGACATTAAAAGAAACGTTACACAATCATTTCTATTTAATTCAAATATTCTAACGTATTTGATATTTAATGTTGTATTTAGACTCTTTTACGTCATCAGATTCGTATCTTCAACTTATTCCGATCTTCGGTCTTTAAATGACTCGAATAGGTACGAGACTCGTACCTATTTTAGTAACGGTCCACACCTATGTTGCTTTCCTTTCCCCGTATCTGTTGTCACTCGTGCCTCTTAACTGATCATCATGTTTTGACCATTTGACCAGTCCTCGTGTCATGCCACGTCACCTTCAATGTAAATTCAGTTTTTTTCCTAATACAGATAGTCCCCCCACTTTCTATTTATTTATCAATTAAATAATTGGGAAGTGGATCTTCATAAAAAGGAAATTTTTGCCGTAATTAATATTATGACAATACTGACGCTTCAATTGTCCCTTCTATTTAATGCTTTACATACGTGTCACTTTCTGATTGGTTCTGCAATTCTACACCCTTTTTTCGAGACTTCTTCATTTACATTATTCACGAAATGATAGTTGTCTTTATTATAGGTTTTCCATCATTGCACTTCTAAGTTTGACGGTTGTCATTATAAGCATTTTTAACCCTCTTTCATTTACCTTCTTCTTCATAGATCTTCAACAAGAAATTTCTTACTTACTTGTATTTTCTCTCCCCTTTAGTACATCCTTCTTCAACAATGTCATCTCCAAACCCTAACCCTAGAAAAGTTCCAATTCTCGATCACTTCCCCAATGCCCCNCGTAAGACATAGGAGAGGCAGAGGAGGTAGGCTTCGGAGCTTGGGCCTAGGGTCCGCTCGTGATAGTTTATCTGGTCCTGCTTCTTCTTCTTCTAGTATCGGGGGTTCTATTCCGAAGACCCCTTCTTCTAAAGATAAAGAAATCATTGATTCTTCTCAAGAACCTTTAGTCGATGAAATTGTTCCCAGTGATTTATCTTTTGGGAGTGATAGAATGTCTCTTCAAAAGCAAATTGTAAATTTAGAAAAAGCTGACACTTATCCTTCATTAGTGACCGAGCTTACAATTCCTACCATCAGAAGGGATTGTAACTGGAGCAATAGTCTTCGAATGTTAATTTCTTCCCCAAATCAAAGAATCTCTTCCTTTAGAAGTGGTTACTCTTTTGTTTATACTTACCCTTTTACTTTGGGTTTTAATCCTCCGGTTGACCCAGTCATTATTGACTTTTGTCGTTTCTTTAAAATCTGTTTGGCCTATGTCGGTCCCCTAGTGTGGAGAGCAGTGGCTTGTCTGAGATACTTATCTGCCAAAGCCAAGGTCAACTTCACCTTTTCTCACCTTATTCATTTATAGCATCCCAATTTAATGCGCCATGGGGTTTTTACCTTAACTGCAAGAAGCAAAAAGGTTTTGGTAAGCCCTGAAGATGACAGAGATCGTGGATGGTATACCCGTTACGTTGCTGTACGTATGGTGGACTTACTTGGTGAAACAAATATTCCCTTCCCTGAGAAGTGGAATTTTGCACATAAGTTTCCTTTTATTTACCGCACCTATTTTTGAGAATTTCGATTCTTTTTCTAACTTCGTCTCTTTTTGGTTTTTTGTAGCAACTATGGGAGATGTGGAACTTATTCATGACTTCCGTGGTTGGGTAGATTCAATTTTGAAGATTGCTCCTAAGGATCAAAGAACTTGGAAATCAATTTTTTCTTTACATGGCTGGAAGGTGAAAATACATGGTATGTCCCTTTTTACACGTTTTTTTCTTTTTACATGTTAAACACCTTTTTCTCAATGTTGATTATGTATCCTTCTTTTAATCAGGATTTGGTGTTAGAGGAATGGCAGCTAATGTAGCTATGGACATTCGCATGTCTGCTAATACTGCACTTGATTTGAACAAGGCTCGAGCTTCGCTTCCCAAAAGGAAAGCTATAGGAGAAAGTTCTGAGAATGAGGAAGAGGAAGATACCTCTTTAATTGCCAGGCCAAGAGTTAGGAGACGAGTCATTAATAGTGATGAAATTGAAGATACCCCTGCTCAAACCTCATCCACCGAGCCTGTTTTGATTCATTCTGACGAGGACACCGTGCCAAGAGATACTAATGAATCAACTCAACGCCTTTTTGATAGTGGTTTTGAGAGTGGCGAGTCCGGCCCTGTTTTTGATGAAGCTCCTCTCTCCTCATTCGTTCCTATTTCCTTCATTCCTTTGCCAACCGACAGTATTTCTTTACCAGCTTTGAAGGCTTCCGTTCCTTTGCCAGTTTCAACTGCACTTGCTTCCGTTCCTGTGTTGGTTTCTACATCTTCTCCTTCCATCCCTACTTTGACTCCTATGACTCCTGCTGCTGTGTTTACCTTTTGTTCTACTCCTCCTTCCATTGCTCCTCCTCCNTTTTCCTTTACCAACAAGTTTTTTTGTTTTTAATCTACAAATCCTCATTCTATGAGTTGTCTCTGTAGGCTAACCTCATTGGTACAGAATTGATGGGAAGAATTTCCCTTCTGGAAAGAAAAACCTGTGAGTCTGAAAAATCTATCCATGAGGCC